AGCCAAAGAGCCTGAAAGAAACAGAAACATTAAAGAGTATAGCATAGGATTCCAAAGGAGAGACGACTTCGTGCCCGCACAAGAAAACAAGAGCCTGGGAACAGCACTCAGACAACAAGCCACTCAGCCAAACCATTAGGCTACTTTGACGGAGAAATGGTCTCAGCCCATCATGCTCTCCCTTTTGGAAATTCCTAGAGAGGTTTTCTCAGTGAGGAGGCCAACAGACAGACACTGGCCTTGAGGTCCAAGAAACCGAGAACCAACAAGAAGGAGGGGATAAGTTCCAAGATAATGTTCAGGGGACTCCACAATAACCGCCCTAAAAAATAGCCAGGTGGTGGCAGGGCTCACCTTTAATCCCACCGTTCAGGGGGCAGAGGCAGGCAGATGGAGGTCAGCCTGGGCTACAGGGTGAGCTCCAGGACAGTCAGGACTACACAGAAACCCATCTTGGGAGAAAAAGAAAGACAGAGGTGGGGCCTGAGAAAAAAAGGCTTTGTAGAATGTTAATGGGGGAGGGGCAGAATAGAAAATGCCCCTGTGTCACACCTTGCCCAACAGCTTGGCGTCCGTTCCTGTTAGCACCATCTTCATGACTGCTGTAGATCTGAGGTACCACATGGCCTTTTCTGGTTCTCAAGAGACTCCCCCAGTGTTTTACAGCAGAGTGGATTTTTCATTCTTACTTCAGAATCAGTACCTGTTTGCTTAGCTCCTTCCCTGGGGACAGTATCCTAGGCCAGTCCCCTCTGCACCTGCCGTGCCCGCCCAGGCTGCCCTATATAAGGAAGTGCCTAAGACACATCTGTCAAAAAAGTTTGTGTGAATGTAACAGACATGCAAGGGACCTCACTGGCCACGTATGGTGAGGGAGTGGATAGCTACCCCCCACCAAATATCAAGTCACCTCAAGGGAAACAGAAGTCCTGACAATAACCAGGGGAAAAGTTAACAAACAACTAAACAAGTCTCACACACTCACAACCTGGTCAAAGTCATGTTGGCACCAGCAGCCACTGCCATCCTGTATCTGTGGCCATACCCAAGTGTGTGGAGGGGGATTCTGTTGCCAACCTGCTGCATTCCAGTCTCCATGTGGGCACTAATGTTAGTCCTAGCCCTGAATCTTGTTTTGACCAATGAGAAATCATTGGGCCTGACATAAGCAAAGGCCTTATGCATGCCCATGTAGTGAGCCTCTCTTCCCTTGTGCTTCTGGTATTGCTGTCAGATAACCCTCTACCTGATCCCTGAATGCATCCATGAGCAGCAGCAGGCTTATGACCAGTCTGCATCCTTGGAATCAAGTCAGCCTATATCACAGAATTACAAACCCCACCCCCACCCCCAGTCACACGAGCAACTGAGTGGCAGCTTGGCTTGTTACCCAACATTGCTATAGATACCGGTGACTGCTACACTGGCTTTCAAGAGTATTTAGCTGCTCAGGGTGACTGGTAAGATTCTTTTGTCCCTGTAAATAGTAACTGAGGTGCTGAGACAGAGGGAAACTGAGGGCAGGGCAGAGACAGAAGTAAGGGAATTCATGTCTATTTTCAGGATGGACTTGGTAACATGTAGGAGAGAGTACTGGGGGTCAGCTCAAGCATCTTCAGTCAGCTCCTTCCATAGTGAGGCCTGCCACACAGACCTCTGTCAAAGATCAGGTCACATGCCAGCAGGTAGGTAGCACTGCTGGCTCACGGTCAGTCACTAAAAGATCAGCTGGAGTGTGTTAGCCTCAGAGAGAGAGACATGTGCAGCTCTCCAAGGATTCACTGTGATATGGGACACTCCAAGTGCAAAAGCACTCAGACTGCTGAAATGAACATTCAGCTGCTTAAATGAAGTCTCCATGAGACAGAATATTCTATAGATAGTCACAAAAGGAACTTGGATACAGCTCAGGGGTAGAAACTGTGCTTGAACCATGGACTAGGTCTTGGTTCACCCATAGCACAGAAGGAATAGAGGAGGGAGAAGGGAGGAGGGAAGAGAAGTCATTGGTACCAATAAGAAAAGGAATTCATGATTTCATATATGTAAGATGTATGAACATCTACATCCACAGGTGTGCATGTGCATATGGGTGCAAACACTAACAAAGCAACACAGTACTAATGACCATCAAAGATGACCTTGTAGAGTTCTCTATCTCTAGAGTATGCATTTAGGTGTTACTAAGACTTCCCTAAGTGTGTATAATTGTGAGAGTCCTGGAAAAACAGTGGTCCAGGGAATAGCATGTGCGAAGGCCCTGGGGTACACACGTCAGCTCAGCTGACCCAGGGTACAGCAAGTATTCTGGCGCTGGAGTGTGGTGAGGAAGGGAAGGTGGCAGGAGATGGCATCCTGGGTAGAAGACCAGGTCACACAATGCCTATGAGGTCATAGCAACAACACTGAGTTTATCGGAATAAGATGTAGCCCACAGGAAGGTTAAGCAAGGGGATTCTGTTATGTGATTTATGTTTCAAAAAGAAAAAAGCATTCTAAGATAGATGTAAGCCTAGCACACAGGAGTTTGAGACAGAAGGATGATGAGTTTGAGATTAGACAAGATGACATATTACACAACACACACACACATGTGTGTACACTCTCACAATATTCTCTCCCCCCCCTCTCTCTCTCTCTCACACACACACACACACACACACACACACACACACTGGGGAGATAGCTCAACAGTTAAGAGCACTGTCTGCTCTTCCAGAGGGCCCAGGTTTGGTTCCCGGCACCCACATGGAGGCTTGTCATTGTCCAGGCCCAGGAGATGCCATGCCCTCTTCTGGCTTCCTCGGTCACCAAGGTCACATATGGTATCCATGCAAGCAAAACACCCATACACATAAAATAAATAAACAAAAAATTTAAAAACCATTCTGACACTAGGATATGGCTCTCTGGTGAGTACCTGCCCAACATGTTTAAGGCTTTGGGTCACCCCACCATAATTAAGTCAGGAGTAAGGTCATGGTGGCCACCAAGAAGTAGCTGATAATTTGTCACAGAAACATGAAAATGTCTAGATTAAGGCAAGGAGGGAAGTGCTAGCCTGAACCCACTCAGAGGCCATGAAGCAGGGCCCCAGACTCCTCACAACCCCTTAGATCTACCTTGTCAGTAGAAGAACCAGACATCTGAGAACCAGGTTCAATAGAAACATAAAAATCTGGAGTTCAAAACCAGCCCGGCCTACATGAGAATCTGTCTCAAGAAACAAATAGGCTGGCAAGATAACTCACAGGGGTTGCCACCAGCCCTGATGATGTGAGTTCAAGTCCCATGACACACACGGTGGGAGAGAGAATTTCCTCCCACAAATTACCCTCTGACCTCCAGATATGCATGCAAACACACACAACATGCAAAGGTAAGCATTCTTTAAAAGAAAAGAAAGAAACAAGGAAAGAGCTGGGTTCTAATCCCACCTCCTAACTATGTGACTGTACTATACCTGTTTCCTCACCTGTGAGAGGGGTCATGTGACTCTGTGTGTGACGAACAGAGCCCAGAGAACAGTACAGTGAGGCGTGTGTGTGTGTGTGTGTGTGTGTGTGTGTGTGTGTGTGATGTAGGAAGGGAGTGTTCTGTTACATCAGCAGACCAGAAGGACCCCAGGAAGGAGGAAGCTGGTGTGGCCACCAGAGTCCAGAAGAAGAGTATGTGGGGTAAGAACACACAGGAGCAGAAAGGCTTAATGCAGACACACACACCCCCGGGGTTGAATGGCTCATTCTTCTCTTTGCCTCGGGCTCCTGTTTAAAGTGAAGAATCAAGTTCAGAGGGAAGATGGGGATTAGTTAACTTGACCTAAAAGTACCTGGGTCATCAGGAGGGCAGCTAGGAGAGCCATGCAGCTATCACAAACCAACATGGCCACACAGAGTTAAAGCCAGAGACTTTGAGAAGCAGTAGGGATAGAAAAGCCTTCTATCACTAGGTAACAAAGCCCGACACATAGCCTCCTCATAAACATTTTGATATATGCCATCAGGCAGTCCTCTGAGCGGCCACCAAGCCCTAAAAGTCAAACTGCACCACCAGTAAAATAAATGTCGTTTGCTCTTGGGGGCCCTCAGTCCCCATAAAGAAAGCAAGGGAGGCTTGAGCCCTCTAGAAGAGAACAGCCAACGTGCCCACACTGTACACAGACACACGGTACTTCCAGAGGGCACCACATGGACATACCAATGCAGGTGCCCAACCACAAGTACACATGGGTACCCTGGTGCCTGCATGCTCATGCTGAATGTATTTGTAGAACTCACCCACCATGCTAAGGAAGCATGCACATAGAGTCCTGCTCAGGCAAACCCACACTGGACTCAAGGTCCTGTCTTTAAAACCCAGCTCTGCCTGCTCTTTGCTCTGAAATGTTGGTGATGTAATTCCTTTGGGATGATTCTCCATCATTGGAGCAATGAGAGGGATAGACCCCTCACCAGGAGGTCGATGGAGGTCTTGGCTGACGCAGTTGGACTCAGACAATTAGTAACCAAGCCCCCCTGTAACCAGCATCTCCCTGTGTGAAATGCTGTTTTGCCACAGTGATTCCTAGTAATCTCTGGTTGAAGACAGATCCTGGTGGCTCAACCAAGTGCTTCATGATCAGACATGTGCACAAAGACGGAATGTCTCCAGGGAACCTGAAGAAGCAGCGGAAACAGTCTCTCCCTGCAGCTGACCACTCACTTAGTGAAGGAATTAGCTCCTTCCTGCCTATGAAGGGCACTGAGTTTCTTGTCCTTTGTCCCTCAGATTCTCCAGGATGGCTTGCTGGAATTTTCCAAGGAAATGACAGGTCTGTGGGGAGGGACCATCACCCCACCAAGGCTCCTCTCCTCCACTGCCCTCCCCACTTCATTCTCTGCACCCAGAGACAGACAGTGCTATGTGACAGGAAGCATCATAGCTGCAAGAGAGAAACTCCAGGCTCTGACAAGCCACCAGGTCAGGGCAGGTCCCCAGGGAGGGCAGAGCTTACTACTTACCTTTCTCTGAAGCTGGGGCCAGGTCAATGAAGCTGCGACATTTCTCACCTTGGGAAAGAAAAAAAAAAGGTTTCAGAATTTCAGAATGAGAGGATACTCCTTCCCAGTTTGCCTGTCTCCCTCCAAGAGTCCCAGAAGTAGCACCACCCCAAACAGGACCCACAAGGCAGCTTCCTTAGCTGTGATTCCAAGCAGCCCTGTTGTGTGCCAGGAGCTTGGGTGGGAGCCACCAGCTCCCGTCCCTGGCCAAGTCTGAGCTCTTCTGCCTTCTGTCCTAACCTCTACCCTGACCAGGCTCTGCCTCCTGTTCTCTTCTGTCCATTCTGCATGCTGATCACACGAAGCACACACACACTGATCACGTGAAGCATGAGCCAGCATGTGTGAGCAGGTACACACACACACATACCTTTGGTAATATTTCATGAAAAAAAAAAGGGTGGACCCAGGGAGGACCACTGGCCTGTCCAGGCTCCTCTCCACACCCTTCCTGCCTCAATCACTCTTGTCTGTCTGGAGCCTCCATAGTTCTCAGACAACATTCCCTGAAGGTCCTGAGCTTCCTGGCAGCCACACGGCAATGACAAGGCCCAGAACACATTGGTGACAGAAGGGATAGGGAAGGTGGCCTGATCACATTGGGTCTTGAAAGTCCTTCCAAAAACTTCTCTCTACTCTAATTTGTGTCACTCCTGCCCAAGATGCAGCAGGCCACACACAGGTGGGTAGACACCATGGTGCTGGCTCAGGCAGGCTTGCTTTTACCCCTGTGCTTTGCACTGGGAGGCAGGACCCTCAGCTCCCTTTACAGTTGAAGACTGACTGCAAGGCTCTGAGATGCTGAGCCACAAGCCTGGGTCAAACAGCCAAACAGTGCTGCTCAGATCACGGCGAACAATATAAAGACAGATGTGCTGACAAGCAAGAACATTCTGGAAGGGCGCGATAAGAAGAAAGGGCTGGCCTGGTGGCAGAGCAACAAGCATGCATAAGGACCCGGGCTGAGGTTCAATGACACCTCCCCTCTAGTGAGAAAATTGAATTTTCTCTTAGATTTTGAATGAATTGTTTTAAACTTTCTTTCATGATATATTTTGCCCAAAGCTGTAGAGAGGTAAGTGGGACGTTCAAACTCAGACCAGACCAGCAGCACACTGATTAGCTCTTGCGTTCTTTGTCTTCATGACCTCCTTCCTTTATAGAAAAGAAAGCTAATGTCAGAAATCAAGTCACCCAGGTATAGTGACAGATGCCTATAATCCCAGCAGGAGGCTGAGTAGGAAGATCATGAATCTGAAGTCAGCCCAAACTTCACTGTGAGACCCTAACTAGGACACACCCTCTGAGTTATATATCCTAATAAGATTAATATTGCTATGATAAACACCATGACCAAAAACAACCTGGGGAGGAAAGGTTTATTGCATTTGCCCTTCCATATCATACTCCACCATCAAAAGCTGTCAGGGCAGGAATTCAAGCAGGGCAGGCACCTGGAAGCAGGAGCTGATGCAAAAGCCATGGAGGCGTGCTGCTTACTGGCTTGCTCCCCACAGCTTTCTCAGCCTGCTTATAGAATCCAGGACCATCAGCTCAGGAATGGCACCATTCACAATGGGCTGGGGGCTCCAACACTAAGCACTGTAGTGGTTTGAATAAAAATGCCCCCCAAAGGCCCACAGGGAGTGGCATTATTAGGAAGTGTGGCCTTATTGGAGAAGGTGTGTCACTGGGAGGTGGGTTTTGAGGTTTCAGAAGCTCAAGCCAGGCCTAACGGCTAATTGTCCCTTCCTGCTGCCTGAGGATCCAGATATAGAACTCTCGGCTTCCTCTCCAGCACCATGTCTGCCTGCATGCCACCATGATTCCAGTCATGTCTGAGTTTAGTTAGATAACGGTCTAAACCCCTGAACTGTAAGCCAGCCGCAATTAAATATTTTCCTTTATAAGAATTGCTGTGGTCATGATGTGTCTTCACATCGATAAAACCCTAATACAATCACTAATTAAGAAAACGTAGGCTTATCTACAGCACAGTCTTAGGGAGGCACTTCTTCAACTCCTGTCAGACGACTCCAGCTCATATCCAGTTGACATAAAACTAGCAAGCACAGTGTCTGAAAATTTTGTATTTTACAGCCTTATTGGTTAAGCATCAAGCACTTTACCCACTTCAGAGTTTAACCTTTTTTCTGATTTTTAAAAGAAATTAAAGAATCTGCATGGGCCTATGAGAATATGGTGGCCCTTGGCTCTCCCCTGGTTCTATAGAAGGCAGACACCAGCTCTAGGTCCAGTTCCAGGTCGTATTTAAGGATTACTGCACAGGGTTTTGCTGTCTCGTCTCTTTAAACAATGCTTGCAGAAGGTATAATTCACGTGGCCCAGGATTCACTGTTTTAAGGCAAGTTAACAGTTTCCCATGTACCCGCAGTATTGTCACAAGTCTGGGCAACAATCCCCATGCTCAAGTTTACACCTTTTCATTATCCCCCAAAGAAACCCTGTACCCATAAGAAGTTCACCCCCCTTCTTCCACCCCACCCAACCCTAGGCTGTGACTAGTCTATTTTCTGCCTCTGGTTGTGGCCTTCTGTGACTGGCTTCTCTTAGTATCATGGTTCGAAGATGTACATTGGCACTTCGTTGATCTTCTTTGTTTAAGTACAGAATCACATCTCTGTGTTTTGCTTTCTGCAGCTTCAGTGACATGTGGTCAACCGCAGTCTCAAAGTAATAAATGGAAAATTCTACCAATAAAAAGCTCAGATGTTTTCTCCACCCTCCTTTCATAGTACCATGGTGAATGCTCTGTCCTCGCTCATCCCATACCTCATCCCTTTGAGTGACAAATCCACACGTCTACAGTGCCTCCCGTGCATCCCTCAGTAGCCTCTTTGTTATCTGATGAGCATCATGACGTCACAATGCTTGTATCTGGGTGGCCCTTATGTTACTCAAAGAGGGCCCCGAGTGTGAGAGTAATGGTGCAGGGGATATGAAAGGGCAGATAGCTCAGGGACTGTGGGGAAGTGCTGCTGGGTCTGGGAGGAAACGAGTCCACATGGGGCTTGCTCTCTGGGAGGGTCGCAGCGTCCTCTGAGTCTTGTACCACAGGCTCTGAAGATAAAGCGGAGAGTTCCAGTACTGCATTTCAGCAGAACATTCTCTGGCTCATGGGCCTTTGGATGTGTGTCCCTTTTTGTGGGGCTGTAGCTAGTGCATGGATGTGGGTCCTGTTGGGTTGTGTTGTGGTCTGCCATGGCTCAGGGAGGCAGAAGCTTGAAAATTTGAGTTCACTCCACGAGGCACCGGGCAGATGCTGGGCTCCTGAGGGGGTGACCAGGAGACCGGTGGTCTTTGTCTTTGGGCTCCCAGACACCACTGGGAGACTTGGAAGAACCGAGACGGAGTGGGCATACGAGCTGGACCGGTCTGCAGCCGAGAGAGGCGCCCCGAGGGGTAGAGACTCTTGGTTATGGCACTCGCTTGGCTGGATCAGCTAGCTTACTTGAGTTGGCGGCCTACATGGCAGGAACATAGAGAAGTCTTCTTGCGGGAGATTAAGCAGCAGCTCGGTAGTCAAAGGTCTTCTCCATGGTTCCCCACATCGGGGCCCCAAAGACACAAGGAAGTCCAATGTTTTTAAAGGTTTTATTGTCATGGCAGAAGGTGGATGAAGCTGTACTCTGAGTCCTCAAGGCGATCTTGAGGTTAAATATCTTTTGTAACGAGGAGGGTCTGGGAAGGAATTGGCTTAACTGGCTATGCCCTCTGGCCTTTAGGTATCTCATTAATATGGAGATCTCTTGAGGCTCTGAGACCTGTAGTCACACCCTCTACCTGTGCTAGGTGACACAAACCTCTCTTTGGGAGGGGCTGTAGGGGCATTGCCCTACATGACTGAAAGCCACGGATCAATGGAGAGGTCTTCAGCCTCGTGTCAGGAGCCTGGAGTCTGGGAGTGTGGCGAAATGCATGCCATCCCTTGTAGGAATACCTGCTGGGTCTCCAGCCATCTCTAACCAGTGTTCCACCAGAAACCAAGCCGTCCTTTTACAGTCCCACACCTTTTGAGGACATTTGCTAGTTTTCATAGACAAGATTTTTATGGACAAGTTTTTGTTTCTCTGGGCCATACTCTGGAAGTAAAATTGTAGGTCAAGACCTCAAGGGGACACAGGCTGGCCCTAAGCAGCTGGGCCATCTGGCCTCCCACCCACAGTGAGGAGACCTCTAGTTTCCCAACACTGGAATTGCTAACCCTTTGTCACTTGAAGTTACCTGGACTCCTAAGAGATACCTAAATAGATATAAAGAAGCAGATTCTAGGTATAGAAAAGATAGAAGGCACATATATAGCTGGCACACAAATAACAGATCAATAAGCGATAAATTATAGATAGATGATAAATACATGATAGGTAGACACAGAATGGAAGTAGATCATGTAATGAAGTGCTCAGGCTATATGAAGACCCATTTATTGCATTTTTTTTCATCCTACATGGTTCGGGATCCTACCTAAGAAAATATGCCTAACCCATCTCATAGAGATTCACCCCTTTAATCTACAAATCTGTACCTTTAACACTGTGCTAGCATTGACCATGTGTCCGTGTAGGAAAGTGTCTGCTTTGGCATGTGGGTCCCAGCTATTCTTGCATCCCTCCTGAGATGGCTTCTCAACACTGGGTCATCTCTTTCACAGACACCCATTAGTGTGAGTGCAGGCTTCACCTCACTCCCACTTGTATGTAGTTGTTCTATATGGCTGCCATTCCAGCACAGGCTTTGCCTCACCCCTGTTTGTTTGTAGCTTCTCTACATGGCTGCCATTGAGGAAGCACCATAGTGTCTATATTGCTTTGTAGCGTGCTTTAAAACTAGAAATTCTGAGTTTAGACTTGTTTTGACTATTCTAGGTTTCTGATAATTTCATGTGAATTTTAGGACCAACTTCTCAGTTTCTGCAGAAAAGCAGGTTGGAGATTTGTTCAGGGTTGCATTGAACCTGGAGAGCACCTAGGCAGAGGAGCCAGCTCAGT